CCCCTGAACTCCTAACCCCAACCCAACACCCAACCCGTAACTCCTAACCCCTAAGCCTAAACCTTAAACCCTAAACCCCCGACCCAAAACCCCTGACCCCTGACCCTGGACCCTGGAACCCTTAACTCCTAATCCCTAGGCCTAAACCCTAACTCCTAAACCTTAAACCTTAAACGCCTGACCCAAAACCCCTGACCCCTAACCTTAGACCCTAGACCCTAGAACCCCGACCTTAGTCCCTAGACCTTAGACCCTAAACCCTAATAGAACCTTAAATCCTAATAGACCCTAGACGTCAGACCCTAGATCGTATACCCTAATAGACCCTAGACCCTAAACCCTAGACCCCAAACCCCAAACCCGAAAACCCCAAACCCTAAACACCAAACCTCAAACCCCAATCTCGAACACCAAACTGTAATAGACCCTAGACCCTAAACCCTAATAGTTCCTAGACCCTAGATCCAAATAGACCCCAGATCCTAACCCCTAAACCCTAACCCCAAACCCAAACCCAAACCCAAACCCAAAATAGTGAACCCCTTAAAAACCCTTTAAACCCCCTAAAAACCCTCTAAACCCCAAACACTAAGCCCCAAATCCATAATCCAAAACCCCAAAACCCTAATCCCCTAAAACCCTTAAAACCCTAAAACCCTTAAAACCACCAAACCTAAACCCCAAACCCAAACTCGAAACTCGAAACTCGAAACTTGAAACCCCTAAAACCATAAAACCCTAACCCCTAAATCCCTAAACCCAAACCGCAAACCCTAACCCGTAAACTCTAAACCCTAAATCCTAACCCCTAAGCCCCTAACCCCCAACCCTAACCCTTAATCCCTAACTCCTAACCCCTAAACCCTAACCCTAAACCCTAAACCCTAAACCCTAATCCCTTACCTATAACCCATAACCCTAAATCTTAAACCCTAAAAAACCCTAAACCTACAACCCAAAAACCCCAAAACCCCAAACCCCAATCCCAAACCCTAAACCCTAAACCCCTAAACCCCTAAACCCTAAAAGCTAAACGCCGAACCCCGAAACCGTGAAACCCCAAAACCCCAAGCCCTAAACCATAAACCCTACCCTAACCCCTAATCCCTAAACCCTTAACCCCAAACCCCTAACCCTAAACCTAAACCCTACACCCTAACCACTGATCCTAAATCCTAAACCCTAAACCCAAAATGCAAAAACCCAAAAACCCAAAAATTCAAAAACCCCAAATCACAAACCCACTATGCCCTAAACTCTCATACCCTAAAAGCCAAACCCCGAACCCCAAAACCCTAAAAACCAAAAACTCCAAACCCTAAGCCCTAAACCCTAAACCCCACACTCCAAAACCTAACCCCATACCCTAAACCCCAAACCCTAAACCATAAACCCTACCATAAACCCCTAAACCCTAAACCCTAACCCTCTAACCCCAAAACTTCAAACCCCCAATCCCAGCCCCCGACGCTAGACCCTCAACCCTACACACTAGACCCTCAACCCTAAATCCTAGGGCCCCAACAACCAACCCCCAACACCCAAACCCCAACCCCCAATCCTAAAACGAACACCTAAACCCCAAACCCCAGTACCCAAACCCCTAAACCCCTAACATTCAAACCCCAAACCATAAATCTTAAACCCTAAAACCCTAAACTAATCTAAACCGCAAGCCCCTAACCCCAATCCCGAACACTTAACCCCTAAACCCCTAACCCCCTAACCTCCAACCACCAACCTCCCAAACACTAAACCCTAAGGTTTAAGGTTTGGGATTTAGGGTTTGATGATGATGATTCACGGATGGCCCTGAGCAAGATACCAAGTACGGCAATCACGTCTAAAGCTAAGACGATATTCATATCATTGGGTTGCGGAAGTTAGAAGAAATTATTGGGATCAGCATCGACTCCCAACAATGCGGTAAAGAGGTCTCCCCAACCACGCACTAGTGCTAGCATCCAGTCAGGAGGTGGCAAAAAACTGCTGCTGTTGCTGTTAAATGTGGCAGCGAAAAGGTCAGAGATACGATTGAATGTAATTGATTCGTAGATCATTTGAATCACGATGATCAGTGACCTCATGCGGTCTACGTAGGAGATCGTGGAGGTAGCCAGATCATTTACGGCATTAGTGAGTGCGGTCGGGCCAAGAGCTATGTTATTCATACATTGTCCGGAAACACGTTCCAGGGCATTGTAGCCGCCATCGCAACCCAAGAAAGTGGATCCGGGAATTAGATGTGGAGCAGTAGGAGAAGTACGCCCAAACTCCAACCACTCTCAGAATTCTCCAATTGGTAAGCGTCCAAGTAGGAGTTGTCCCGTTGAATACTCAGCCTGTTCCAATGGTTGCTGGTTTGCAGTATGATGTTAAACCATCGAGTGGGTGGATTCTATTAAGCAGGAAGTACGGGAATATTGTGTGAAAAGGTCTCTCCCAAGTCAACACGCAAGTCCTCAATGAAGTCCCTGTAAGCTCCACTACCGCTTTCAATGTTAAACTCCATTGTGAATTATGCCATTAACTGAATTCAATTTTACCATTGACAATAGTAATCAATCAATAGAAAAATATAAAAATAATAACTCAATGAAAGTGCTTGTAATTATCCTTTTCAATATTGGATTTCTCCATTGACAATAATAATAAATCAATAGCTAAAATAATAATAATTAAAAGCTAAAATAATAATAATTTAATAATATTAATAAATAATTTTCATTTTTCTCATCTCAGGCATTATTGTCAAATCTTGAAACGAATCGTCAATCGTTTTGCTAAAATAATGAATCGGGAATCGTATGATTCACCTTATTTGCGCCCGATTGCTAGTGTTAAATAAAATGAATCATACGATTCACGATTCATTATTTTAGCAAAACGTTTCACGATTCGATTCAAGATTTGACAATAATGCTTGAGATGAGAAAAATAAAAATTATTTATTAATAGTATTTAATTATTATTATTTTAGCTATTGATTTATTATTATTGTCCATGACAGAATTTAATTGAGTTAATGGCGGAATTCAACGTTGAAAAGGATAATTACAAGCACTCCATTGAGTTATTATTTTTATGTTTTTCTATTGATTAATTATTAATGTCAGTGGCAGAATCGAATTTAGTTACTGGTAGAATTCACAAAGGAGTTCAATGTTAAAAGGGGTAGTGGAGCGTACAGGGACTTCATTGTGGACTTGCGCGTTGAATTGAGGGAGACCTTCTCACACAATATTCCCATACCTCCAGCTCGGCAGAATCCATCCACTCGATGGTTCAACATCATACTACGAACCAATAATCATTAGATCAGGCTGAGGATTCGACGAGACAACCTCTACTTGAACGCCTACCAAATGGAGTTTTTGAGGAGTGGTTGGAGTTCGGGCGCACTTCTCCTATTTCTCCACTTTCAATTCCCAGATCCACTTTCTTGGGTTACGATAGCGGCTACAATGCCCTGGAACATGTTTCTGGACAAGGTATAAATAACATAGTCGTTGGCCTGACTGCACTCACTAATGTCGTAAATGATCTGGCTACCTCCACGATCTCCTTCGCAGATCGCGCGAGGTCACTGATCATCACGATTCAAATTTTCTATGAATCGAATAGATTCACTCGTATCGCCGATAATCTCGTTGCCACATTCAGCAGCAGCAGTTCTTCGCCCCCCCTTGATTGAATGCTGGCACTAGTGCGTGGCTAGGGAGACCTCTTTGCCGCATTCCTGTGAGCCAATGCTGATCTTAATAATTTCTTCCAAATTTTGCAATCTAATGATATGAATATTGTGTCTACTCTGGACATGGTTGCCGTACGTGGCATCTTGCTCAGGAGCATCTGCGCTTCATAATCATTAAACCCTAAATCCTAAACTCGAAACTCTAAATCCTAATGGTTTAGAGTTTAGGGTTCTGGGGTTAGGGATTTAGCCGTTGGGGTTTAGGGTTTAGTTTAGGGTTTTAGGGGTTTGGGGTTTGGGTGTTAGGGTTGGGGGGTTTGGGGTTGGAGTTTAGGGTTGAGGGTCTAGGGTCGAGGGTCAAGGGTTGGGGTTTAGGGTTTAGGGGTTTTGGGTTGGGGTTAGGGGCTTACGGTTTAAAGGGTTGGGGAAGGGGTTAGGGTGGCCTACCCGCAGTCCAATGGTCAAGCCGAAGCATCAAACAAGACTATACTGGATGGGTTGAAAAAACGGTTGGAGAAGGCTAAGGGCAAGTGGGCCGAAGAATTACCGAGCGTCCTTTGGGCATACCGAACAACCCCGCGACGCTCTACCGGGGAGACTCCATTTGCTTTGGCTTATGGCATGGAAGCGGTCATACCCTTGGAAGTTGAAGCGCCCACCCTCAGAACTGAGAGTTTTGAGCCCGAGCTAAATGCCGAGGCTATTGCCTTGGAGTTGGACCTAGCGGAAGAGCGCCGGGAGAAAGCCCTCATCCATGTGGCCGCCTACCAACAAGAGCTCTCCAAGAAGTATAACAAGACAGTGCACCCCAGACCGTTCAAAGTTGGGGATTGGGTTTTGAGGAAGATTATGGGCAACACCCTGGTGCCAGGAGAAGGCAAACTAGGGGCAAATTGGGAAGGACCCTACAAGATCACTGGTCTGGCTGGCAAGGGGGCTTACCACTTGGAGGATCTAGAGGGAAGAGCCATACCCCGGCCATGGAACGCGGCCAACTTGAAATTGTATTATTTTTAAGCTTTTTACTTTTCCCTTTTTGTAAAGCAATTTTTTGGCTTGCAAAGCAGAATGTAATTCTTTTTTGTCAATCTATAGAAGTAATTTCGCCCAGCACTAGCACTTTTGATCTTTTAATGCTTAAAACCGAGATGATTTGCTCCGGTTGGAAGAGTTGGTGTTTTGTCCAACTTAGGATTCCCGACCGAGATGATTTGCTCCGGTTGGAAGAGTTGGTGTTTTGTCAAACTTAGGATTCCCAACCGAGATGGTGTATTCCGGTTGGAAGAGTTGGTGTCTTGTCCAACTTAGGATTCCCAACCGTGATGATGTACTCCGGTTGGAAGAGTTGGTATCTTGCCCAACTTTGCTACAGCCGAGATGGGTATTTCGGTGCGTGAATTTGTTTTGTTATGCTCAAGTTCTTCGACCGTGTTATGGACTCCGGTCGACAAATTGTTGAAATGATAAGTTATACCGAGATGGTTTGCTGAAGACGGAACTGATTACTACCAGGCAAACACTTGACGAAAATTCAAAATTTTTCATTGATAAAGAAATTCATTACAAAAGGTGGGGACAAAGCCCGGTTACATCAAGTGTATTGAAAGCAAAAATACAAAGAAAAGAAACCTAAACTAAGGGGGAAAGATTGGTGAACTCATCCTCGGCAGCATCAGCATCAAGGTCAACAGCTTGGCTTGCTTCTTGGGTGCCGGGCTCATCGTTGCCGGGCTGTTCAGGCACCTCGGCCTCTTCTTCCTCAGAATCTGTGTCATCCTCTCCAACTTCAAGTCCTTCCTCGGCCTCCGCTTGAAGCGCACTGAATACATCATTTGCATATGGCACAAGGTAGACCGGTAGTGAAGCTTTGGGAGGATTGGCAAAAACGTCGGTGTCAGAGCCCTGGCCGAGGTGTTCACAGGCAGACTTCCAACCGGCCTTGAAGTAGATGTCTTGTGTTGCAAACACCTGCTTCTTATAGCTCTCTTCGGCCTCGTTGAACCCGGCCTTGTTGGCAGCCCGGCAAGCCTTCTTCTTCGCCTTCTTCAAAGCGTCAACCTCGGCCGGAAGCTCACTTTGTTTTTTCTCGGCCGCGCCCAGCTGACCGAGCAGTCTATTATTGTCATGGTTGGCCATTTCGAGAGAAGCTTTAGCCCGGCCGAGCTCGGCTTGGAGGCTTTCAACATGGCTCGCAGTGTCGTTGGCTTTCTGCCTAAGCCGGTGGATGCGCTCTAGGACCAAATGTTGTTTTTGAATGGCCTGCACAAAGAAGCAAAGTACATCAGAAAGGGGACCGAGCAAGAAGAACCGAGCAAACACTTGTGAAATGTTAAAAAGAACGCCGACTTACCCTGGCCATCGACTTCACAGAAGATTTTACCAGCCGGGTGTCAGGGACGTGGTCACTGCCTACCACGTCGCCCGGTAGGAGAAATGCTTTGGAGAGATCGAAGGCAAGCAAATGTTCTTTGTCTGCCTTGATCGATGCAGTCGCCGGGATGTCCTGTCCCCGGTGCTTCAGCTGAGGACGCCAAGCGGGCACGGGAGCAGGAGTTTCAGCTGGATGTTCGGTTGTCAGCTCGGCGACGAGCTCGGCGGAGGGATCTGCCCTTGGTCTTTTTCCAGCCCGGCGCGCTTCTCTGGCAGATTGCCCGGCAGCTGGAGCCGGGGACGCAAGGGCGACCACAGCGCTGCTGGATTGGCCGGCGGCTGGCGACCGGGTTACAACGCTCGGTATCTCGGCTGAGGTAGCGGTCAGAAGGTTTTTGATTCTGCTGCGCTTTGCCATCTCTTGTTCCTCGGTCAGCCGGATTAGCGGGACGTCGGGTAGGGTTGGATCTGGAGGTGGCGAAGGAGCTCTGAGGAAGTCAGTTACTCTACTCCGGCGCGGAGCAGAATATCTGTAAGTCGGGGTGTAGCCAAGTAAGTCGTTGCAATCTCGGTGGGGATACCGAAGCACGTTGTGCAAAGAAATTTTTTGGCTTGCACCACAGCATGTAATTCTTTTTGTCAATTTATAGAAGTAATTTCGCCCAGCACTAGCACTTTTGTTCTTTTAATGCTTAAAACCGAGCTGACGTACTCCGGTTGGAAGAGTTGGCGTCTTGTCCAACATGGTATCTTGTCCAAACTTAGCAACAACCGAGATGGATATTTCGGTGCATGAATTTGTTTTGTTATGGACTCCGGTCGACAAAGTGTTGAAATGATAAGTTATACCGAGATGGTTTGCTGAAGACGGAACTGATTACTACCGGGCAAACACTTAGCGAAAATTCAAAATTTTTCATTGATAAAGAAATTCATTACAAAAGGTGGGGACAAAGCCCGGTTACATCAAGTGTATCGAAAGCAAAAATACAAAGAAAAGAAACCTAAACTAAGGGGGAAAGATTGGCGAACTCATCCTCGGCAGCATCAGCATCAAGGTCAACAGCTTGGCTTGCTTCTTGAGCGCCGGGCTCATCGTTGCCGGGCCGTTCAGGCACCTCGGCCTCTTCTTCCTCAGAATCTGTGTCATCCTCTCCATCTTCAAGTCCCTCCTCGGCCTCAGTCTGTAAAGCGCTGAAAACATCGTTGGCATATGGCACGAGGTAGACCGGTAGTGAAGCTTTGGGAGGATTGGAAAAAACGTCGGTGTCTGAGCCCTGGCCGAGCTGTTCGCAAGCGGATTTCCAGCCAGCCTTGAAGTATATGTCTTGTGTTGCAAAGACCTGCTTCTTGTAGTTCTTCTCGGCCTCTTGCATAGTTGCTATATTTTTTAGGAAAAGGATCAATGAACTACGACTTTAAAATAAATAAAAAAATGTACATGAGAGAAGTAACTATGTATGGTTTGTTTATTGATTTAGCAGAAACGTTACTAATCTCAAAAAAAATCTAGAAAAATATTTAGAGTTTGAATTAATGGTGTTGATTTAAATTTGATGTGGTGTGGGAAACAATAATGAATTTGATCATCACATTTCAAATTTTGTGCACTTCATTAGGTATTTTTTGGGTACGTAGTATTGGTGTTTAAACAAAAAAAAAAAAGGATGGTTTAATATTAAAAGAATTTATCGTTTCACTCACTTGTGGGTTGTTACCAGTTACCAGTTAAAGTCTATCCTTAATGCTGTATTTGGTTTGGGGATTTGGAAAATGAAATGAAAAAGGTAGGTGAAATGTGATTAAAATATACTTACATTTCACCTAATTTCACCCACATTTCTTCTCTCTTTCCAAATCCTTCCTTAAATCTTCCAATCAAACACAACATTACTATTATTATTATTATTTTTTGAAACATTTTGATTTTCATTTTAAAAAGTTGAAGGCAACACTCATGATTAAGATTGCAAATAAACTGAGCTATTCACAAGCTTAGCTCAATAAGGCTCAGCTCATTAAGTAAATAAACAAACTCGAGTCCTGTAAAGCTTGGCTCAACTCATTTGTAGCTTTACGTCATAATTATGTGCAAAATGGTTTAATTCTTATTGGCAGCTTAAAAATTTAAATTTCCATCTTGGTCTGATTTACATCCTCACTATTTTATGGATGAAATGGAGATTTTCATTTAATGATTAGTGGTTAGAGAAGACCGACCAAAGGAGGATCCCGGGTTAAGCTTTGCCGAGATGCCGCCTAGCCTGGTCCTTCATTCGGTTATCCGGTCGGGCGCTTAAGGTATGAAGCATGGTATGACCGAGGTAGGGCAGCTCGGCTGCCGAGCTCCAGCTATGCTGGCAGGCAGTTGAGAGCAGGTGATGAACGGCATGGTTTAAGCTGACAGATGGGATAGCAGAGCCACATGTCAGGAGATGACAGGGAGTGGATATGGGGCACAGAAGGTATATAAGCCTGTCTGCGCCCCCCATACGGGACAGACGAACATCTCTGTAAGGAATTCTTACACTCAAACACTCTCTCCCTTCTCTCTATCCATCCCAAGGTGTGTGCTAACTTGACCGTCGGAGGGTTTTTCCGGCAACACACCGCCGGGTAGCTCACCATTACTTGCTCGCAGGTGATCGGACATCGACGGAGCTTGGAAGAAAGGAATACGGGCTTGCCGGAATATTTGCTCCCCGTACAATGATCATATCCCTATTAAATGTGATTATACTAGTGCCATCAATTTAAGCAAAAACCCGGTTCAACACTCACAAACAAAACATATTAAAATTCGACATCATTTTTTAAGAGATCATGTTCAAAAAGGAGATATTGTACTTGAATTTATAAACACCGACAAGCAATTGGCGGATATTTTCACAAAACCCCTAAGCGAGGATCGCTTCAATTTTATTCGTGGCAAGCTTGGAATGTTGATTTCTACTTAAAAAGTTTTGTTATGACTGCAAAACTTGAATTTTTGTTAAAATGATATATATGTATTGCTACATTGATATGAAAACATTTATATCAGTTGAATGCTCTCAAGTCCTTCATGCATTTATTCTCCTTAACAGTTTGTTATTCTCAATTGTGTAATTTTTTTTGGGTTCTGCATCTTGAGGTAAAATTAACTTTGCATACATTGATTTTTTTTAAACCCTCATAATATATATATATATATATATATTTTGCATTACAATTCCAGCAACACCAACGTCCCATTAAGTTTAATTCCGGCTAGTATTATTCTATTTTAATTTATTTTATTTTTTTTATTATTTTACTATTAGGCTTAATTTCTTTTATTTTTATTTTTTTTTCATTATTATTTTTTGTTTGGGCTTAATTTTCTTATTTTTTTCTGCTTTTTAATATCATCTTTCAATACTTAAACATAAAAACAAAAACAAATTAAAAAAAAAACTTTTACATAAACAAAATAAAAAATAAAATAAAAACATTCTTCATTTTCTTATTTTTTTCTGCTTTTTAATATCATCTTTCAGTACTTAAACATAAAAACAAAAACAAATTAAATAAAAAATTTTACATAAACAAAATAAAAAATAAAAAAAAAAGCATTCTTCATTTTGTTTACGGCCACACGCCGATCAAAATAAACACACAAAAAAAAAACTAACAAACAAACCCTTCATTTTTTTTTCCCGGCCATACGCCGATCTTACTTACTCGCCTCTTCCATCGTTTTCTTCTTCTTTTTACCACCCTGGGCGACTCTTGATGCTCCTGCCCCTGTGTTTTCGTTGAGAGCGACGACTCCCCGCTCACTATCAAAGGCCAAGAACGACGTTGCTCCAAATCAGGCCATGGAGGTGGTCTTCCGTTTAAGTTCTTTATTTTCGGCCTTCAATGCGCCTATTTCTGCTCGCGCATCCATGTATATGCGCTGAAGTAGAGAGAGTTGGGCGTTGTCCTGATGGAGCTCACTCGTCTTGTTCTGCAATCAGTGAGCCAATTTTGTGACTGCCGTCACCGTCTCCATACAAGACGTCAATGTGAAATGATTGGCTTCAATGTCTGATTAAGCTACCATGATTTGCTCAATTGACATCATAGGAATATTAGGAAGAGGAATGACAGGAACAGCAAAAGCCGGGGCACTCGGCCCAGCAGCGCTTATAGGATCATTCAGGTCCGGAAACAGAGTGAGGGAACGGGATGAGGAAGCCATCGTTTAGAGATGAGAGGTGTAAAAGAAATGAGTTGCGAAGAAACAGAAGAGAATGGTGAAGAAGAAAATTGAAGAGTGTGTGCTTAAGAAGAAGGCAAAAGAGAAGAAGACAAAGAGGGAGAGGGAGCCGAGGCGCATCCAAATCGAGGCCTGCTTTTGTTGGCCAATGACGCAAAAGCGAGGACGCGTGTCCGGTGCGATTTTCGACAGAAATGAGAGAGGCGCGCGAATCGTATATTTATATAGTATATATATTTGTTGATTGACCGTTGATTGATATATATATATATATATATTTTTGATGCCATTTATCACTATCATTTTCCTCCTCCTCCTTCAAATTCTAACCCATGATTTCCTTTTGATAATGTCACACGGGGAGAAATTATATGATGTTATGTATTATGGTATTATTTTCAAACTAATCTGATATTATGTATTTATAGTTTGATATTTTAGTCTCATATCATGTCTCTAATTAAAGCTTATTTATTATACATGTGCTAACCTATGTATTTAGAAATGAATTCAGGGAGCATGACTTGAGGGGGAGCCTTTCTTACTCCCAAATCAAATCAAAACATCATTGTGTGTCATCATAAAAAATGGGGAGATTGTTAGACTTATTTAATTTGATAATTTATTTAATTATGTTTTAATTTATTTGAAAGAGAAAAATAGAATCCAAAATTTATTTTGATGATTTATTTAATTATATTTTAATTTATTTTAAAAAGAAAAACAGAATCCAAAATTTATTTTGATGATTTATTTAATTATGTTTTCATTTATTTGAAAAAGAAAAATAGAATCAAAATTTATTTTATTCCATTATTTCTCACCTAAACCTTTATCCTAAATATTGTTAGAATGTATTTAATATTTGATTAAATCAGGAGTTCAAAAGGTTCAAAAGATTCAAGTGGAAGATATTCAAATTTGTAATGATGGAGGAAAAGATATTCAAATTAGTAATGATGGAGTTACAACGGCAACAAATTCAAATGAATAGTTCAAAAGGTTCAAAAGATTCAAGTGGAAGATATTCAAATTTGTAATGATGGAGGGAAAGATATTCAAATTAGTAATGATGGAGTAGAAGATATTCAAATGAATACAACGGCTATAAACGGCTATAAATTCAAATGAATACATGTCACGTCCCCAAAATAATACAAGAAGGATAACTCACATGCAGAATTATATATACCAAAGCCTCTAATGTAAAACAAGTTACAAAAAAAATCTGAAAATATTCTTTGATCTATAATCACTCACATCTATTCTCTGAAAAATTCTCTGAAAAGTATTCTTCAATTTTTGTTTACATCCTCTCTCA